ATCAAATTAATGCAAAGAACAAAAAGCCAAACAAACACATTTCTTCTTATTCTTCTGCAAGGCATTTCTGAGAGAACCATTTACCATATACTCTGTCACTGTTGGCACAGAACCTCCAGGCCCATCAAGCACAACACCATAGAAGCTACCACAAAGAGGTGGTGCAAAAGTATTCTTGGACTTCCTTTGGAATCATCCTCATCTTCCTGTGGAAATGAGAATTACATAGTCAGGGCTCGGAGAACTTCTTGTAAAGTCTAAATCTAACATGATCTAGTTCAATAGATGTGAACAAAAAATATATTCATCTATATTAGTTATGCAAACTCACAACCTGATGTTTTCCAATAAATAATAAAATGCCTCCATATTATTCCAAACTGAATGACAAATATAGGAACACAAAAGCCAATCAGTGATCCTAAATATAAACTGAACTAAAATTTTCATGTATCTAAAAAATCATTAGTATTGAATTTCAGTTCTAAGTGCAAAATTCAATCAAAGCAAAATCGGAAAAATAAAAATAAAAAGTTCCCACAATAAAAAACTCCAAGAGTAGAACTCCCTGAACAAGCACATAGAGCTCCAGAACATAAAAAATCCAGGAAAACCCATATACTAAGCTCAAGACAGACAACAACCAAGCCTCAACCAAATCTAAAAATATTACTGAAAATGATATGGTCTTTCATAAATATAAAGTCTCCTAATTATATTGACCGAAGAACTGATAGATAGGAATGGAATATATTTACATATTGGTTGATTAAGGATGTAAGCAAAAAGAAATTGTAGAACTGAGTCAGGGTAAAGTGAAACTTACATTAATTGGGTTTTGTTCTCTTTGATAATCTTCTCTCTGCACACCCTGGGATCATGTTTGATCAGACCAAGATTATCATCAAAATAAATAAATAAAGGAGCAAAACTTCTGCAACCAATAAAGAAGGAGAAAAAGGGTTCACGATTGACAAAATTTAGGATCATAGAGACACTTACAACTGAACCCTATTA